GGCAAACATATTGTTGTCACCCACAAACCTCGATTGTTCGCAGTCGACCGATGATGATGATGATGTTCATTATAGCAAAAAAGATTTTCGATAAAAATTCTTTATCTTTTCCCTCAGTACTTACTTTAAAGTGCGGTCGCGCTGTCACTACCGCGATCGCTATGATATCCTGCACGTCGCAACGCGGTCTCGATGAAATCCTGTATTCGCGTCGCGTTTGCAGTTTATATCTAGTTTTTTCACTTTCTCAAAGTGAATCGCATGAGAAAATAAGTAATTTATATACAAAGTAAGTGCACAGCAATTTTAAGGAACGAGAGAGTATAGAAACATAAAGTCTTTCCACTTTGGTTGACACAACGTTGAAATCTTTTTGTTTAACTGTTTTGGATATCAAAACGGGGCGCTCTTTTTCTCAAAATATTTGAACTTCTACTATGTGCAGCAATTCTAACGGACCAAAATTTTCGGACGTCCATATTTCTCTCACTGAGATTGTGAAAGCTGTTGGATCGATGAATAATACGGCTAGTGTTGGAGTTGACGGCTTGTCACTGGAATTTATTCAATTGTGCCTTCCTGTTTTAGGAAGACAGTTATTGCATATATTTCAGTCGTCGATTAAAACAGATATCTTTCCCTGTCAATGGAAAGTTGCTACCATCACACCTGTTCATAAAAAGGGCAATAGCTCTCTCATTTTGAATTATCGGCTAATATCGCTTTTGTGTGTTGTTAGGAAAAGTTTGGAGAAAATCGTCCATCAGCAAATGCTGGGCTTTTTGCTTCACAATAATCTGCTTAGTAGCACTCAGTTTGGTTTTAGACCTTCCTGCTCGACCCAAGACGCATTGCTAAGAGTAACTCATGCTCTATACACTAGTATGAATAAAAGAAATGTTGATAGAGAACACTGTGTTGGTTTGAGTTTCGATCTATCGAAAGCATTTGACCGCGTGCCAACGTCCACCCTTTTAATCAAACTTAAATCTATCGGAATCGGAGGAAAGCTTTTGGAATGGCTTGAATCATATCTGTCAAACCGTTCACAGTTCGTTAACATAGGACAAGTACAGTCTTTTTTATCTTCAGTACCATCTGGGGTACCCCAGGGTTCCATACTGGGCCCCTTACTCTTTTTGATATTTATAAATGACCTAAATGCTTCAACATCCGCCTCAGACAGCAAATTTGCTGATGATCTCTTTGTTTTAGTCCCATTCAAAAGAACAGATAATAAGACAGTCATTGAAACCTTAGTTCAGGCTGAAATTGATCATGTGTCTTTCTGGTGCGAAAAAAATCAAATGACTTTAAACGCCGATAAATGCTCATACACTTATTGAAAAACTAGTGAACGGCAATACTTGAAAACTTGAAACAAGAACGAAAAAGTGCTCCATTGAGTTTCCGATCAGTTCTGAAAATGCGAAAGCCTAGCAACTGTTAGTTTTTATTTCACAGCATTTCTACGGAAAGCCCA